GAGAGAGGTACGGAGGGAGGGAGAGGGAGGGAGGGAGGGTTGCCGGCGAGGCTGCACCCCTAATTTTGCATCCTTCCGTTTAGCGATCAGGAGCGGCCTGCTGGTCCGGAAGCGCCCTGGCGAGCGAAGGTATAGGGTTGAGGGAGAGGGAGGAGGGGGGAGGGCGGCAGTCTTGGAGACGCAGGTCTATTACTTTGCGGGGTCGTGCTGAGCCACCCCGTTGCGATCAGATTTGAACTCCAACGCAGGATTCCCGGCACCCACGCACACCTTTACTTACTGCTTACCTCGCTGAACCGCGCGAAACGCTGTGATAAATAAGTACTATCTGTGCAGAGTCGGCCCTCTTTTGATATGTATATACTCGCGGGCTGAAGTCACACTGCTAAATACTTACAAATAAACGCGTCGCGCTAGTCTAGTCAAATGCTTCGTAGCTTTGCGAAGGATTTAGGTTCTTTTCTAGAAATTCTTTTGCAATTTGTTTGAGTATGATTTTCTATTATTACACTGAAAAATACTCGTAAGGGTTACGTGAACATTTTCTATGATAAAAGTCGTAAAATTACAATTTGAAATTGTAAATTTACAAGCTCTTCCTTTAAACTTGGAATTGACCAACGAGCAAGAATGGGATGTCGTAAATTTATGACTTATTTTGTAAATCAAAATTACAACAAATGTCGTAAATTTACGAGGATATTTTTCACAGTGTTATGCAAAGGGAATGCTTTGTAGTCTGCAATACTTGTGCGCAGGGACGCCTATACAGTGGGCGCAGGGATTTAAAAGTGCGAGTACGTAGAAATTACTTCTTTTTTAACACTGCTTCTTATACTTACCACGTGTAAAGGGCGAGATGCGCTCACGGAGGGAGCAGTCCTCCTGAAAGACCATCATAGGCATAAAGATGAACCGTGCAAGAGCGTGAGGATAGAGAGGGGTGGAGATTGAGAGAGAGAGAGAGAGAGAGAGAGAGAGAGAGAGAGAGAGAGAGATGGCTTTGGAGAGATGCTTCTCGCTGACAGCCGGCAGCCTTGCGGCTCCGCTCGGCTCAACTCGGCTCCGCTCGGCGGCCGCCCGCCTTAGCGTCACTAAGCGCCCCTCTTTGTCGCATCCATGACCCATGCAGACTGCTGATAACGAGGGGCTAGTTATTCGCAGTCGGTTTGTCCGGCCGAAGTGTGTCAGTGCGAGCGGCACTAGCTCCAGAGAATCAATTTGGCGTCACCACTTTGTACTTTTGTGACGCGCAGTTGTCGTCGTCGTCGTCGGGACGTCTCCAACTCGCCGTGAAACGCGACGATGCGATGGTGGTGTTGGCATTGTTGTGCGCAGTTGTTTGCATTTCGGGGTTTTGAGGATTCCGGGACGGCCTGGGAGTATTATTAATGTGTTGTTGTGTCTTCTTCTGTTTGGCAGGACCGCCACCTCCAGCTGCTCGCCGGCCGGCCGATGGCAGGGGGAGCTGCCGTTCTGCGGTGAGTACTACCACATCAGGTCTAACTTTTATCCGCCAACGCTATTGCACAGCGGTGGGGCTCCCAGTCGGGGCGAACAATTACAAACACAGCCAGCAACCACGGTGTTAAAAAGAAAAGATGGAAAGGGTCGAATGAGGTCGTTCGCCGTGTCTTTGCCGATGGTTTTGTGATCGGGCAGGGGGGGGGGGCACTTGCAGAATTACATCACTCTAGAGCCTGATGCCCATCTCTCCCCCAGGAGGTTTTGCTAACCAGCCACCACCAAGCGGGCGCGGTAGTGGCCTGGCGCCAATTAAACCCCCTCCCTCCTCCCTCCCCTCCTCCCCTCCCCCCTCCTTACCTTCCTCCCTCTCCCTCCCCTTTCCTCCCCTTCCCCCCTTTTTACTCCCTGCAGCCAGGGCCTTTTGCATGTCCTTTTACTTCTGGCGACCAGCCACCACCCCCTTGATGCCTTGATTTAGTTCATTTCGCCTCTTTGCAATATTTTGTGCCGAACTTGACACCATCTGAAAGCTCTCTCGTCCCATAAATGTAGTCTCAAGGCACGCGCGGCAAGCAGGTCGATCACTGTGAAAAATATCCTTGCAAATGTACATTTGTTGTCACTTGTATTTACAAAATATGTTGTAAATTTGCGACAACTCTGGAAACCCAAGTGTGTACATGTATGCGTTATTTACAGCAAATACTGCGTACATGATCATGTATGCAGCAAATAGTGTGTACATGACTATGTGTGCAGCAAATACTTCATACATAGCCATGTACACACTATTTGCTGCATACATGTTCATGTACGCAGTATTTGCTGCATACATGTAGGTATTCAGCAAATAACGCATACATGTACACACTTGGGTTTCCAGAGAACCCATTCATGCTTGTCGATCAATTCATCAATTCCGAGTCGATGCTTCAATGCTTGTGAATTTACTATTTACCATTTCAAATCGTAATTTTACGACCCACATCGCCCATCATGGAATTTTTTTCCCGTAATCCTACGACTATTTTTCACAGTGATTGATTTTAACTCGTTTGAACGAGATTGTGTGTGTGTGTGTGTGTGTGTATGTGTGTGTGTGTGGCCTCATCGTGACTTCTGGAGTGGACACCTCTTTGTTGTCAACGAGTTGGGCGCATGCACCTCAGCGTGCGGTGTTCCATCATAAGCTCACGCGTAGCTCGACCAACCAAACTATTTCACGAGTACCTCACGGTAACTCTGCTGCACTCACCTGTCTTTATGCGCAACTGTGTTGTTTTCACTTGCGATGGAATGCGAACTGCCGATCAATGAAACGTAGATACTGTTTAAAAAAATATTGCTGTTCGCGAGTAGAGAAATATACTTAGTTGTGAGAGAAAGGGGGGGGGGGAGAAAAAGAAAAGCATGTGTCAGGGAACGACCTTGGGGGCTGCGCGTGTAGACACCCGTCGCGGTACTGGCCGTGGGAAAACGTCAGCCATAATGTTTTTTTCGCCGATTCAAACCTGGCGCCTGGTATAGAGCCCGCCGGGCGACATGCAAACAGCTGTTTTATATTCCAAGCTGGACAATGAGAACAGGGCGCGCCGCATCAGCTGTCTCTATCGTCTCTCGTTACACGCCGTGTGACCGAGGTGTGACGCATGAGCCAAGGCAGAATAACATATTACTTTTTATTTATTTTCATGTCTCATCATTTCGACACTACATTTGTTTTAGCTGGCGCCACGCGGTTGGTGGGCCGTGTTGGTATGGCCTGGTTTTGGATGTGTCATGCTGATCATGACTCTCCATGGTGTGGAGCGGCGTGGCGCAACGACGCGAGCCCCGTGCTCTTGCTCATGGAGTGACATCCATAGAGGCCAGTGAGACACACGAAAAAAACAACCAAAACACGACTAAAGACGTGGCCTTTTTTAAAGAGTGTGGGTCCACACTTATTTGCATACGGAATTACTTTTACGGTTTTTTTTTATTCGACCGAAGCGACATTAGCTATACGCTATATCTGTGTATGACTTCACAAACATAAAAGGTGCGTTGACTGCCTACATTTTGTTTCTGTTGGAGTCGGACGTGTTTAAATGTTGAAAGGCATTAAGTACCACGTGCCAAGTGTTATATTATCTTTCCACACTGGAAAAACGAAAGTAGTGAAGAAAGTCGCAGGGGTGTTAAAGAAATTTGAATTCTTTATACACAGTAAAGAGCCATTATAGGAAGTGCCGAAAATTAGTGCCTTTGCCACTATATACACACACTTCTACACCAATCTGTAAAGGTTCAACTAACTTAACACACCTTTGGTTTTTCAGTTTAGTAGTGTTGAAATAATTTTCGCACGATACCGAAAGGGATGCAATCATCGCATTTTTACTCTGCGGGCTTTGATGATCGCGCCACGCCACTGCACCGAATGGCGTGAAGTGGGTCGGCCGGCCCAGCCAGACTGCGGGTCAAATGGACCCTCCTCTGCAACAACAAACAAGAGCGGGCCGCGCTGACCGCCGCGCCCCGGCGCATCGCACGGCCCGCAGCACCTGGGAAAGAGATTTACGGTCCATCCAATTGGCGGCTCGAAGGAAACGAATCGAAACGAAACGACAACTCGGCTCGGCCCCGCGCTGCTGTTGTCGCAACGCATCCTCCTCTCCCCCTCTGGGCCGCTCGGCGGCTGCAGTGCGAAATTTCGGCGACGGAGACGGACCGCTGCCGCTGCTGCCACCGCTGCTCTACGGCCTGCAGGCCATGGTCTGCTTTTGTTGCTATGGCATCGGCCCGAGCCCGTCGCGTCGTCGATTGTGCCATTCTTCATCTTCTGTGTGGCCCTCTGGCACTGCTAGAGAAGAGCACGGCACAAAACTGCTCCGACAAATGCGTAAGGGGTCGAAACGGCCCATCATCTGTTATAGGTTGTATTTTTTTATTTATCTTCTGTGAAAGCTAAGTTTTTCTACTTTTCTACGCGTTTACAAAAAAAAACACTTTTAACTCTTTATATAAAGCACTTTGGGCGGAAACAGGACACGGGTAGGAAAGAAAAGTGGGGGGGGGGGGTAAACATGGTACTTGCGTGTGTCGTGAGCACGCAGGCTGACCTCCCCGGCCGTGTGTGACGAAGGACCTCCCCTCCTCCCCATCCTCCCCTCTTCTCCCCCTTCCCTCGCCCCCGAACGTCAGTGTCCTGCCGGTCGCAGTTTGCCCTTCGCGCACCACAGTGCACTCGCTTTCACACCCGAAACAAACGTTATACTTCTAAGCTACGGAGCTGATGAATTTCTGACTGCAAGAGAAAGAAAAAAAAAGCTTCACTACTCGGCTGGCGCGCCGTGCCGCCATGTCAGAAGGTAAAATAAAAAAAAAAGATATATATTTATATGAAAGGAATCGATTGGAAAGGTTACAGGTCACCTCCCATCACGGTGATATCCCCCACCCACCCACCACCCCATCTTGCAGGACATGTCATGACAGATTCCGCCGGCTGATACCTCGCACGCGAGACCGCCTATCGGAGTGGGGAAAGGGAGGGGGGGGGGGCTGCACATCAGCTCACTATTTAAAAGCCAATAAAAAAAGCACCACCACCCAACCCACCAGACCTCGGCCGGGCATTAGCTAATCTAAGCTCGAGCTTTGGCTGAACCAAATTAATGGATTGCTTAGAATTACAGATGAAACGGTGTCACCGGAAAAAAATATCTCCTTAAAATTATAATTGAGTCTTATTTTACAATTTACAAAATATGTTGTAAATTTCGGCTGCCCATTCTTGACCGTCAGCGATTTCTCAGTTACGCTATATTTGAAATTTTACACCTTTTACTTGTTATTTTACAACCACAACGCACGACTTGATGAAAAGGAGTTTCCTCTGATCCTTCCCAGTATTTCTTGCAGACTTTATGGAGCAGCTGTTGTGCTCCACTCGATGTGACAGTATCACTGTAAAAATTCTATGTCTCGATGTCGACAATACCATGGATAATTTTTAGTACAGGGGTGTCGTCATGGGATTTTTGACAAGAACCCTAATCATGTGACGAAAAAACCCATATGGCGACACCCCTGTACTAAAAATTAACAGTGGTATTATTGTCATCATGACAAATAACTTAAACAGTGTATGAAAGGGATTATCCAGATAGTACGTCCGTTATTCGCCGCTACGAACATGACGAGTTCAGCCTTAATACTGCAAGCTCTCAAACCGCCTGACAGGTAGGCAACATCTTGCCTGCAGTGCATGCGTGCATTGCGGGGTGGCCTACCCCGAGTCTCGCAGGCGCCGAGCAACCGCCATTTGCTGGACGTAACCTGAGAATAAAAAACAGACGTACTTTCTGGACGAACATTGACGAACGACAAGTCCCGTATTCCACTCTTCAATGGCAACGCAATAATGTAGCCTGCTCCCCAACTAACCTCGGCCTGAGCTAAACTAACTGCAGCAGGCTGAACGTCAGAGACTGGTGCACCACCACCACCACCACCACCACCACCACCACAGCTCTCCGCCCCAGCCAGCCCGCCCCCTGCCAAGTCGCTGCTGCCAATCTAAGTGGTACTCGCAGCAGCCCACTCGTGCTCCGAACGGGAGCGGGAGCGGGAGACACTCTGCTGTCCTGTCCCTCCGCTTCCCCGGAACACCTCAGCCTGGTGGCGCTCTTATCCTTTCTCTCGGCCTCTGTCTGCCTCCCTCCCGCCACTCCTACCCTCCTCACTCGTTCCCTCTCCTTTCTTTCTCCTTTTTATTCCCGCACGATTCTGTTATCGGATGCCATGAAGCTTGTGTTGTCGCTGACGTGCTGCGCGGCCTCCAATGCACTGCAGAAATAAATAAATAAAAAATAATAACAGCAAAAGGAAAAGACCGGGTGACTGGAATACTCCTTAACTCTCATGAGGTCGACCAATTTTGTCTATCAAAAAGCATCGTGTTTAAGTACATCTCGGCAAGATGCAATTTCTTTTGTCAAAAAAATCTGTACACACTTTGTCCCAGTTT